AGTGCAACATCTTGAAGAATTTTTTTTTTTTAATCATATAAATTTCTCATGAAACAACAAGAATTTGTCTACTAATAAGACATTGATGCTAACAAGTATTAACACACTACAATCTTTCTTTTTCTTACTAAGAACCAGAGATGAATGATTGAGAACTACTCTCTAGCACAATCATAACACAGGCAAAATAACTTTGACTCTCTTCCGTTTTTACCCCTGCGGAGCAAAACCCCAATTCAAGAATGGTTTCTGTTCAGGCGGATCCTGGAATGAAGTGAAATAATCAGTAGGCTGATACAAGAACTGAGGAACAAAAGCTTCACTCTGCAACAACTCCATTGAACCACCAAACATCGAAGCATCAAAAGCTTCCAAAGCATCCTCAAGATCTTCCCATTTAGGCTCGCTTTGAACCTCTCTAACATCCGGCGACACCACGTGACCACCTGAGCTGCTCGAATCATCATCTTGCAATGTCGGGTAAGTCGAATCCGATGTATCAAAAGGCGATGATGATTGATCCGTCGTTGTCGTGGCTCCCGGTTTCTCATCAGCAAGGTAATACTTCTCCATGGTTCCTTTCTTGTTGTATATTCGACATAAAACCCAATCATCAAGCTGTAAACACAAAACCCACAACAACAAAGTCAATAATCTAAATCACATCACATACACTGAAAGAAAATTTTAAGAAAGAAGAAACAGAACTTACTCGTAGGTTGTTCTTTTTGTTAACGGAAGCTGATCTATCAACATTAGCAAGACGATACTCATGCATTATCCAATTCGTCTTAATCCCTTTAGGTGCTTTACCAGCGTAGAAGACGAGTGCTTTCTTAATACCCAACGTCTTCGGTTTACCGATCGGTTTATCTGCTCCGGTCGCTTTCCAATAACCGGCTCCTGCAGCTCGGTTTGGTCGCGAACCGTTTGGGTATTTCCGGTCTCTAGGTGAGAAGAAGTACCACTCTTTCTCTCCGTACAAAGACATCTCTGAAAAATCAAAAAAACAAATCTCAATCAAACAGAGATTCTCGAAAAAAAACATTTTTTTTTTTTGGCGAAATGATTAAAAGCCCATAGATTTACCAGGAAGCTCCCATGGATTAAACTTGTAGAGATCGATTTCGGCGATTACCGGAGCTGAGATCGGCTCCGACGCACATTTCCGGCACAAGTAGAATTTCACGAGCTCTTCGTCCGTTGGATGGAATCGGAATCCCGCCGGTAAATTTAGCTCCGCCTTCATTCTCAGGAGATTTCTTCTCTTCTTCTTTTGTTGGTCTTCGAAAATTTTTCTTCTTTCAAAAACTTTGACTTGGATCTGGGCTTTGTTTTCTTCGTCTTCTCAAGAATAGAATCGTGGAGATGAGAGTGAGACGATTAAGTTTTTATAAGGACG